CAAATATAATTACATAAAACTAATGTAAAAGAAATGAAACAACAGAACTAATTGCACATATGAAATCAGCCGTCTCAATTCAAAGTTCACATACATACTTCTCTGATCATTTCGGCTGTCAACAGAGCTATGAAAGAAACTACAATTTTTTAAAAAGTCTGCATTTTCACCTTCCCTGTCCTACCAAATAAATTATTACAAAATTAACATTTTTCAAGCAAAAAAGTTAACACTTTTCCATAATTTACAATTTTAATTTGAAAATTAAAAAGTAATAGAACAAAATACAGTAGATCCACGAGGATGACATGCATGGTTAATACAAAATCATAGTCAATCAAAAGACAGTTAAACACAGGAAAAATATTTATTATAGTAATAAAAAATACCTGCATTTTTCAACAGTTTACTGGAGAATAAGTTCACTTATATATATCAATTAAATCAGTTTTCAAAGGGAAGGGGTGGAAACACTATAAATAACAAGACTAAGTTAAAAATAGCCTTAAAGAAGATTAATATCTACAAGACACACTTGAACAACGAGTTCAACCTTGCATAATTTGCTCTTTTTTAGCCCAGAAGAGCTTTTAATTTCGTTTTGGCATTTTGCACTGAAAACTTAAATGTGTTGAATCAGTTTTCAAATTTTTACTACCAAATACTAACGCCCTGCATTATATTTCAAGAAATTAAATAATGGTGTGTGTGATTATGGCAAAGCCTCGAGTACTATCTACCTGAGGGGAGGGATGCCTTCGTTGAGGACTTTCTAAGGAAAACTGGCTCGTACACACGTTACACATGGGGAAAACCACGAAAGTGCCCCTTCAGCCAGCCAGTTTGTGGGATTCGAAACTCGGACTGAACTACCAGTGTTCAGAGACTTTACCACTCGGCCGCTGGTGGGCAGAAATTAAATAATGAAGAGTATGCATAAACATACATATATATATATATTCGTATGATAAAATAATGGTACCTAGAGCCATCAAAGTTTGAATAAAATAATCCTCCACCCAAATATGGGCATCAGGAAGCCCGGATTTGTAATTTATCTACTAGCTACTATGCGGCTAAGCTTAGTCTGGCTTTTAAATGTACCAGATAAAATGCCTAAAGGAAACACCAAGCATTAGATTTAAAAACTGCACAGAATTTTACTCTGTAGAACTTAATAAAAAAATTTCAATAAAAATGTACAATAATATAAGCAATATCCTCTAATAAAAATACTAATTATCCTAATAAATTAACCAACTTTGCATTGCCTTCTCTCGACCAATACGTGGTATGCAAGAGAAACATTAAATTTAAAACTGCACAGAATTATCGCCTCAGTTTTCCAAGTGGCAACAGTGATATATCAGCAACAATGGCTGCATGCCATTGCTGCTGATATAATGAGACAGAATTGTCAATTTCATCCAAAATGTAAAATAAAAGTAATCTCATTTGAATTTTGAAAAAATTGCTAAAGTGCATTGGCTCTTGTCTAGACACACACTATGTACCAAATTTCATAGTCCTGGGTCTATCAGCTCACGCACAGCACGAACGAAAGACAAACAGAGACACTCTTCCCTTTATTATATGTAGATTTCTTATTTTGTAAAACTTTAAGGAATTTTTTTTAGCAAACTCAATGATTTCAAAGCGAGCAATGGCAACACTGTGTGGAAAAAAATTTTTATCTACAGCGTGCGAGACTGATCGGAAATTTTAGATATGCTCTTTTTAAAATATTTTGTGATATTGCTGTTGAACTTGATTTTTATAGTTTAAGTGTGAAGAACAAAATATTTAACACATAAAGGTAACTTTTTATTAGCAAACTCAATTATTTCAAAGTGAGCAATGGCAACACTGTATGGAGGAAAAAAAAATTATCTCCGTGCGAGACTGTGTATCGGAAATTGTAAAGATGCGCTCTTTTTAAATTATTTTGTGATATTGTTGTTGAGCTGAACTTTATAGTTTAACTCTTTCGCATCGAAATCGCCCGTAGCGCCCGTTCATTCAGGCAACGGCAAACCGCCCGAACGCCTCGTTTATTTTCTACCTAGTTCTTTCCCCTCCACGTTAGTGTATGGCTGATTGGTTTCGCGAGTTGTTAAAAGACATGTCAATCATTCATTTGAAGCAAATATAAAGGAGAAATACGGAAAGCTATTGACGTTCGCAGGTGCAATCTGGCCCTAAGGTGAAACTGCGCACAATGGATGAATGGATGAAACCGCAAAAGGGGGAAAGGAAAACTATTCCAAGACAAATTCGTAAACACGGGCGTTTTCGATGTTTGTTGAAAACAGATTTGGTCGTCTCTCGATGCGAAAGAGTTAAGCGTGAAGATATTTAACACATAAAGGTAATCTTATAAAATAATTGAGAAGGCAACAAACATTAATAATTCCTAATTATGAAAACATATGCAGCAAAATTACTTGAAAGATTATCGCTGATGAATATAAAAAATATTTTGTAGTTTTTATAAAAACTTGAAGGAAGTATAAAACCATGTCTAGATTGAAAGAGATAGAAGACTGGGTGTTGTAGATGCACCAGTTGCTTTTGTTTACATTATTCTTTGGTATTTCATAAGAAGCCAACATGAAATACAAGATTAACAGCTGTAACACTTAAGACTGAATAGTTTACTTTTAATGATTTAACAATGTTTATTATATTTTGAATTATGATTGGTTGGTTGGTTGACTTTTAACCCCTTCGCGCCGACTGTCACGTATACGTGCCAGCAACGAACACACTTATCTACCGGCCGACATGCAGGCGTGCCAGAGCATTGTTGCGTTTACTACCGACTGTCACGTATTTGTGCCAGTACCTTGGAATGTTTTTCAAACTATAATTTCTGCCACAAGATGGCACTGTATGTCCATATGGTTTCAGATACATGTACATTAGACCTTCTACTCGAAATGAGAGAAGCATGACTCACATATACGTGTTTTTGATTATATAAACAAACGGGGAACTAAATGTTTCCGAATGGCGTGATTTATGACGTCTCTTTAAATCGCACTTTATTCGCACGTGGTAGTTGTTTATTGTAAGTAGAAGTTTTATATGTGCTAGAGCGTTGAGTATTTCGGTTTACAGTTCAGTTTTTAGAAAATAATTAGGTCTTGTTAGATGTGAATTCTTTCTGTTTTTACCGTTTCAATGTCGAAGCGTCGAAAATGTTTAACAGAGCATGAAATAGCAGAAATGATGCAAAATATTTCAGATATTGATTCTGAAATTCTGATATTGATTCTGAAAGATTAACTGAAAGACATTTTCCAAACTTGTTCAGAAGAGACTGATAAGAAAATGAGACGACGATGCTTCGTTTGTTCACATTCCCGGAAAAATCCTCCAAAACGGCAAATGAGTTATTATGAGTTCAAAGAATGTAATGTAGGACTGTGTGTAGATCCCTGTTTTAAAATTTTTCATACGAAAAAAGAATTTTAAGTAATATATTTAGTTTTCAGATGTATAATGTTAAAAGTCATAAAATGGTGAGTAATTAAAATAAAATGTGTAAAATATGCATTTAGACAAGCCGTTTAAATACTCTATAGAACATTATTAAACGATGCGTTGATACTTCGGAAATTTCATGGATTTAGGCTTAGCAGCAAAAAAGCCCCCGGCCCTGGAGAGACGCTCGTGGAAGACACTGCCGGCCTCCGCGATAAGCGTGCGTTTTCGCTACCCGGATCGAAGGGGTTAATGGCACAAAACCATTATTTGAATTATGAACAGTTAACTCACAAACACTGTATCTTATCATAACATCACTGCTGTTATTTCATGCAGTTCTTTTCCTTTTTATATTTTCTATACACAGTTTTGTTTTACAGTGATGGTTTGCGATAGTGATTTTTCCATTGTTCTGCAATATATTTCTTATGAAGTCTAGTTAATCTCCAACCTTTAACTTTTTTAATCCACCTGATTATCTGGGAGTAATTTTAATAAGCTATTTTATTGTTTTCTTACATGTATTTTTATGTCTTACTATTGTAACAGTAAGGTATTAAATGACATACCTTACAAAAGCATTAATAAATAATACATTTATTTGCTTTTTAAAAACTGTAAGTTAACTACTGATCATATACCAGATCAATACTTGTACAAATCCTCATTTCTGAAAGTCATCACATTAGGATAATTTAGTTTTTTTTTGTGAAGCTAAGAATTTGTTTATTCGTGTATATATACAAAATGTATACTTATACGTACAGAGCTTTCCTCCTGTATCACCTAAAACTAATAATGATGTACAAATATATATATTTTCCTACATAAAATATAATTATTGAGAAAAATTAAACCAATTCCTGCAACTAATAAATTTTCTGCTGAACTGCCTTTGCCGTACCCCCCCCTCCGAAAAAATATTATTGCAATAAACTACTTCATCAGAATTGAATTTACAATTCTTAATAAGTCCACAACAGCATCAAAACTGAAATAAATAATGCGATTAAGTCTTGAAAATACTGTAGAACTGTTTTTAAAATACACCATTTTATAAACGAATTAAAACAGAACTATTTTTTTATAACTGAAAGTATAATTTCACTAAATGTTTTTATATTTATTTTTCTTTGAAGTACAATACTGTTCAGTGAAATTATATTTTAAAACTGTCAAACAAGAAAATTCCAATAAACACGATTGAAACACACTGCCTAGATCAATATACGTGACCGGGTTAAATGGGTATATCTGTAAGTAACATGTTTTAAGAATTTGATGACAAAAATTAATCATTATCCCAATTCTGAAGAAGAAATGTGAAAACATTTCATAGGATTTTTATTTATAAGTCATTTCAGCAACTGACACAAACTTTCTATTTAAAAATAGATATAGACAAGAGAATTTAAATGGGATTCACATACTTGACATGTATAAAATACGTTTGTGTATTTGTGATTGTTAAGAGAAATTATGATTATTAAGTCTATAATGAGTCAAACACATTACAATTAAAGGATTTTTTATTATATATCAACCATGTGCTCTCACTCTTTCAGGATCTTGCTACTATTGAAGAAATATACATGAACTCTTTAGATGATGAAAACTGCTGGACAAATAATTACATATTGGTTTGTTTTCACAGATTCTGACAAAGTTTTTAATGCACATGATACGTAAAACATCAGTTTCATTGAAAACATAAGAGAAAGTAGAACAAAGTAAGCGGTTAGAACGGATTACAAATTTTTTATATTTTTTTCATTGATCAAAAGTAGTTAAGATAGTTTTCATTTATTACATATAGTATGGATAAATGGAAATTCTGAACATTGATCATGCATAAGTCAGAACTACTATTTAGAATTCTTTGCATAGGTTACATTTTGGTATTTTAGCATAACAGTTTTATTACAAATCTATCTGATGAACAATGAACTACAATTTCTGCCCTATATCTGAATGATTATCCACCGTTAAATCTTACACATGAAGAAAACTCCGATTAAATGCAAGTTGCATATAACACATAGAATGGTTTTTACAAATGAAAAATATACCATTTAATCTAAAGTGTTCTGTTACATCAATTAAAAATACTTGATGAGAACTAGCTCATTAAATAAACAGCAAACAATTTTTTTACATATACATTAATTTCAAAGAATTCCTGCAACTAGCATTTACCCAGAGGAATGACTTCCGATTCAAATAATTTAAGATTTATGAAAATACTTCAATACAAAACCAACGACCCAACGGCAAAACAAATGAAATATTTGGAAATTTATCACTTTAATAAACAGATTGTATTACAGCAGAGTTAGTCAGAAAATACAACACTGCCAGCAGCTATACAATAGGAACAAAATAGTGTATATTCACATGTTTTTTATTTAATGATAAACGCCTAACATTTATATAACAGGGACATTTATGATAGCTACAATACAATGCAACAAATCATATTTTACAATATTATTATTCATCACATTTCATTAACTGGTGAACGCTAAAGAAATAAAGGCAACAATTCAATTAAAAGCCGAAGCTCTTTAGCCAGTCCATGTTCAAGCTGCCAATCAGCCATCATCTGGGAAAAGGAAAAAAAATAATAAACTGATGACAATAAACTGAGAAATCAAAAAATTAATTTATAAAAATGAACATCAATCATGTAGGATAATTACTCATAAATAAAATCTTAACTTATGCAGTTCTCAAAAGGATTAATGTGTAGGATAAATATGAGCTAGTTTCCCTTTAATAGTTCTCGGTTGCAGCATTTTCTCCTTAGGCAGATAGTTCCACACACTTTACAGTCTGTGGCATAGCTAGGGGGCAATCTGTACCCGGGTGCAGCATCAACAGAGACGCAAACTGAGGTTACGAAATTTTGTAATGAATGTTCTTCATTCTTAAGACTAAAGTAAATACCAATATAGAAAATCTGGAACTATCAAAGTGCATTACAATAGTGACATTAGAGTCTACTTTTTTGTCAAAAAATTAAGAAGCTTCACGAAAACAAAGCACAAAATGGTAAATTGCACCCCACATCATACAGCCGCTGGTGGACACAAGGACTAACAGGAAAAGCATTTAGGAAGGAAGATTGGAAATTAAATGAATTAAGGTTTATTAAGATGCTTTAGTCCAGTGGCCTCAACCTTTTTGCCACTAAGAGCACATTCTAGAATATCTGTTGGACAGTGGGCACCATTTACTTTTTCAAGGTGAATTAATTAATAGTTGGACAGATTTAATAATACATGCACATAATGTGCAAAAAATATTTAATTAAAAATAAAACATATAAAAATTATTATTTCATTAAAAATCAACTTTCACATACAATTTTATTGAAAACTAAAACATTTTTATTACAATCAGGGCCTGTGGAGTCTGAGCCATGGAGTCGGGTAGATTTGTGGGTAAAAGGAGTCAGAGTTGGAGTCGCTAAAACACACATACACTCCAACTCCAGTTTTGTTGAACAGTTTGATTTTGAAATGAAATTAAAGTGAACTGAAAAAAAAAAAAATTAATGACAAACTGAGTTAATATTTTTATTTATCGACTATCTACATTAATAAATACTTATTTTCTATTTTATTGGCATATTAGTAAAATAAATATAAGGGAGCAGGATGGACGTGATATTTGCCATTATTGATTTAACTGATTCATTTAGTTACTTATCTCATTGGTGAATTTAGGTAAGCAGCAAGAACTCTCAAAACTGATACCATTCTTAGGAAGCAAGCAGGAAAAGGAGCAACACAATGGAGAAGTATATATTTAATGATACAATTGTTAGGATTAAGAACTTTTTCAGAAGATGTAAATAACCCTAATATTTCACTAACAAAAAGACTGTGGAATGATCTTGCAGAACTGGAAACCCTTCTTTCAACACCATATAGTGCTATAAAAAACTACAATCTGAAGAATTAACAGGAGAAAAGAATGTTAGAAGATTTAGATAACCCTAATGTTTCGCTAACAGAAAGACTGTGGAATGATCTTGCAGAATTGGAAACTCTTCTTTCTATACTATACCTAGCCACCAAAAGGCTACAATCTGAAGAATTAACAAGAGGCAAGACTGGAAGAATGCAATGCTTGTTCTTTTCTGAAATGGAGGGTTTATTGTAGAAGGAATCATTTCTTCAACGAAGAAAAGAGAAACTAGTTTGCTAGACAAGATCATGCTGGGTTTTATACATGTAGATCCAAAATGCCAAATTTTGTCGGATGACAAACAAATTGAAAAGGTGAAGAAAGCCATCTATGAACTTTCATTATGAAATTATTCTCAGAGCAACTGGAGTATTCAAATCAAGACAGTCAAACTGCAGATATTGCAACTGAGTCTCTATCATCCTCTTCCACTGATGAATTAGATTTTTTAGAAATATTTGGATAATATTGAAAAGGCTACGGCAAAAGCGAATGAAAATAACAAAGAGCCTTTAGATATAAAAATGAAAAAATACAAACAAGATTTATACATGGCCTTTGAAGAAATAGATAAATATGATTGCTCCTGCAAGACACCTCTTTTAAAACTTATAAAAATTTATCCTGAAAAGTTAAAGGAAGAGTTAAGGGAAGTAGCCCTAACAGTAACAGCTCTTCTTCCTACTCAAGTCAGTGTGGACTCTTCTTAGTTCTAAAGTATATCAAATCGGATTCTATGGTGCTCTAACAAAGAAGATCTTGCCGAAGTTTTACTGTTTCTTAGAAATTACTAATGCCAGTTTTTTTCATTTCATAATAAATGCTAATTAATATAAATAATTTGTTATGCCATCAATTTTTTTTCTGTAGCATCTATTACTTCTTTAATATTAAAAAAATAAGCTGTAACCCATGTGTATATGTTTACATATATATGAAAGAGTCGGAATCATTAAAATTCCAGGAGACTGTCATTTTCCCTACCCGACTCCACAACCCTGATTACAATCGCACAGCTGCTGGCATAGGGTTGAGAATCCCTGCTTCAGTCTCAAGAAAAGAATGAAACAGTTATATTTGTGATCTGTAACTAAAAATATTTTAATCTATAGTCTCTTGTAGATATAGACATGTTAATTGGCAGACAATTTTAACAATTATTTAAAAAAAAAAAAAGGAACATGAATAGACTCATTTTCCCTCATTAATGATGTTTAACAAGTACATATTTAATGTGTTCAATGCTAGATTTTTCATATTTAAATGACTATGATGAATACCTATAATTATGTGGAAAGGCATTTGCACACTAGGCATTTGCAAAGACATTCATTTTAAGACCCTCTAAAATTAATATTTTATATACAAGAGTTTGAAATTGATGTGCTCATGATCTCAAACTGTCATTGTTAGCCAGAAATCTTATATTACCTTTCACAGGGCTCCAAAAGGATCGTTGACTGATGTGGTTTGTGTTGGTAACCCTGGTGTTGCTGATGGCATGAGAGGCACCTGAGAAACAAAGCCATACACAGGTTGCTGTATGGGAACATTAGATGGCATGCCACTACCCATTGGCATTGTTCCCATTGTGGGCACAACAGCAGGCCTAACATTTCCAGGCTTAAGAAACGAAAGAAGAAAATAATTTCAAAATTATTTTTTAAAGAACTGGATGAATTAAAAATACTTTAAAATTAAATTTGGCATTTAGCACACAGTGAAATTTAATCCACTTTTATAAATCAGATATAAAATTTTATTTTTCATAATCAATCACAGGTAAGTTTAATGTTTAGTTGTATGCTTCTGTTTGATTTCACACACTATGTGAAGAAAATATATGTCCATGTATGCATTTACATACATATTATAAATTTGTTTCTTTAATGACAAGTAATGAAATATTCATTATTATTAATTTTCGAGTTCGAAGGAAGTAAAAAATCTATAATTTGAAAAAACCCAATTTGCATATTTAATAGGCAATTTTCAATAAATACACTGCATATTTAAAATTTGGAAAAAAAGAAAAGAAAAAAAAACTTATTCAGAATAAAAGCAAATACACAAAACAGACTATTATTATTGGGTAGACTGAAAGTTGCTATTGGCGATTAAAAAATAAAATATAACTGATATCTCTGAAATCATACCAATATAGTTTTAATAGCTCTTATTATATTGTTTATATAATCTTTAATATGTAAATTTAAAGTCTGCCTCTTTTCAGTATGCCAAATATCTGTTTTTAAAATAATAATCTTTAGAAATATATATAAGGAAATATACTGAGGAAAGAACAATTTATTATTAGATGTAATTTTTAAATGCTTCAATCGAAGTTTTAAAAAATCAACTGTGCTTATGTGAAAATACTTATGTGCTTATTCTTAGTAAGCTATAGACATTTCAAAGAAAGAATCAATTAACTACACAGTATTCCTCAAATTTCGATTTCTTCACATCATTTGTATGATAAATTTCATTTTCCAATAAAGGTTCCTCCATATACCTCATGAAGTGTTTGAGCTTTATCGATGTTTCAGAAAAGACTTAAGTGTCAAAGGTTCCTGGCAAACACTGATGAAGCATTCCAGACATTTGAAAAATGACTGAATGGTAAAGGTTCTTGTTTGACAGGATGAAAAGTTCTAGCTTTACAGACATCAAAAGGCTGAGAGATAAGGGTCCCTCACTGATTTTGCGCAACTTACTTTTTGTGCTTACGAAGTATTATAAAGCTACTGCTCCAGCTGACAGTTAACTAGGGATTTACACTCATGTCCATAAATTAAGGATAATGCAAAATCAGGCAAAGGAAGAGTTAGAAGCAAAACAAATTTGACTTATTTGTAAAGCTTATTTATTAAACAAAATATAAAGAGCAAAAAAAGATGGTATATGTTTGATATTATTAAAAAAATTAGCAATTTTTTCTCCCTGGAGCAAATAACAAAAAACCTATTTACAAAAAACCAATATTACATGGTTGGTATTGATTGTTAATACATTGTATGTCTCCCAGACGATGCAATACAGTCCATACAACGGCTAGGCATGCCGAGTATCAAATTATCAATCTGATTTTAGGGGATATTACACCACTCAAAAAGCAATGCTCTCCAAAGTTCCGGTAGACATGTAGGAGGAGGTTGACGGGCTGCAACTCGTCGGCCAAGCATATCCCACACGTGCTCTACTGGATTCAAGTCCAGTGAGAATGCTAGCCAGTCCATACGGGTGATATCCTCTGATTGAAAGCATTCGCTTACGATGTTTACACGGTGAGGACGGGCGTTGTCATCCATAAACACAAATTGTGCACCCATGGCACCCCAAAATAAACGTACATGTTGTTCCAGAATGACGTCACGATAGATTTGGCTTGTCATGGTTCTAATTTGTACATGCAGGTCAGTTCTGGAACCCAGAATAATTCCAGCCCAAACAAGCCCTCCTGCACCATCGTAACGATGTCGTTCAATGATGTTTACTTGGTGGTAACGGGTACCTGGAGCTCTCCATATGAAAGTTCTGCGAGAATCAGACTGCAAGCTAAACCTGGACTTGTCGGAAAACATCACTGTTGCGGTGTCCACAATGCATGCTTTCTACTCCAGGCTAACCGCAGGCGACAGTGAGCTGCAGTAAGTGGAACGCATCTGACAGGTCTACGAGCATATAGACCAATCTGCCCCAAGCGTCTGTACGCGGTCTGCCTTGAAATTGTAGTACCAGTGGCTGAAGAGAGCTGATGAGACAGGCCTGAGGCTATGCTCCGCCTGTTTCTTTGGGCAGTAACTGCCAAATACTGGTCCTCATTCGGCATTGTAACTCTGGGGTGACTTGTGCTGTAACGTCTACTCACATTAACATCATCTTGGAATCGTAGCCAAAGACTGGAGATGACACTCTGGGCAATTCCAAGTTCGTCTGATACTTCCAGTTGGGTACGCCCACATTCCAGACGGCCGATAATTCTACCACGTAAAAAATCATCCAAATGCGTCCTTTGTGTCATAACCATTTGGTTATTGCACTGAAATGCTTATAAAGCGCCTGCGAACAATTTTACTTCTTTGCCTGTATTCCTTATATATCACTCTCTTACACTCTCGTCATTGTGACGTACCATCGGTGTCATCTGGTTACTTCCTGAAATTTGTATATGATTCTTGAAGATGTGTGTAGTGATTTTACAGGTGATATATTTATTTTAGAGTTCGATTTCCGCGTGACTCCAAATTATCCTTAATTTATGGACATGAGTGTAGAATATCGACTTTTGGCTCCGAGTGATGATGTGCATTATTCAAGTGCTGTATTACAAAAGGACTGTCTCAATCTGATATTTAATATGATGGAGAGGATGGCTTCCCTATGTGAACATAAACAAACAGTATAAAAAAAATACAAGTGATTGTATTAGCCAGGTTGCATTAACTCATTTGCAGTCTGGTTCCAAGAATGTATCCTTCAACATCACATAAGTTTGTTTCATATTCCAGACTCCCGAAGTCTGCTCAGGTAAGTACCATTCACCTCCTCTTAGCAATAGAGCTGATTATGTAAATCTGAAAGTTTTTGAATAGGAATATATTTTGAATTAGTCCCAAGATTAGGATAAAGTCATTATTTGTGATTTTATAGTGAATTCCATATATTAATATGGCATTTAGGATTTTACATAAAAAAACGAAAATGTTTGTAGTTATGATATGTGTTATTTATCCACAACAGTACAGTTGGAAAATTTTAAATTGTACTAAATTGAACCAGTTATACTAAATTGTTAAACTGTTTTATTGCACTTGTACTTACTATTATACTTATTATTGAACTTGCCAAATTGTATTATTGTACTAAATTGCCAGATTGTTCATTTGGAGGTAAAATTAAACATTTTGCATGTTTATTGATTTGAGTATGTGATTATATTGCAACATAAAAATTTCCTGCATAACATATTTTACTTCTTCCTTAATTTTGAAGTTAAAATTTGTTCCATATATACAGAAATACTAACTTCTCACAAGTTTGTTTATTACACATAGTTTAAGATTAAAAATCTTCCATAAGGTCCTACTTTTTATACATAACACATTTTCTTAAAAATAATCTAATCTGGAATGCTTTCATTTTGTGTACATTATATTTTTCAAATTATTTTCTTATCTAACTACTTTCAGCACATATTTTTTTCTTCACTTTCCAATATTGAAATTTCTAGACTTTAATTTCACATCTTCTAAAGATACAATTTTCATTTTATCATCATGCCCTTATATTATCTAACAGAAAAATATCTGGAGCTCATATTTAAGCACATGCAAAATGAATCCTTCAATTAAAATTTCTATCTTAATAAATACATACAATGTCAGCTACTAATTCATGTGGAAGAAAAATTTTATAAATACACAGACATACCTTTATTTAAATATTGTCAACATGAAAATTATTTCAGAAAATACCTTGCTATGAAAAACCATTGCAATCAAACATTATTTTGAATATTCTTCTACAGATTCAGAACTTCAATACTTTTTACAGTTCTGTAACTATATCAACTTAAACCCAATAGTTTCAGAAAAGAGAAAATTAAATCCCAGAAAAATAACTTTCTCTTGATGAAAGAACACATGCATTACCATTTCCCCGACCCATTTTCTTTATTAAAATTAACACCAAGCAAAAGATGATATTGTACAACTGACAATGAAGTATACAGCCTTCACTCCTCTGATGTGACTAGATTCAATAGATTTATTATTGCAGTGGCAGAGTTTGCATAACAAACGTTTAAAATATTAATGAAGAAGTTATAAAAATCTTTAATTCTTGTTTTTTTTTCTTGTCTTAAATGTATACAAAGAAAAGCTGCATGTAGATACTTCATCTCTTGCACTAAAAATATTTTTATATTACCACTAAAACAGTTTTGAATTCCTTATTTTGCTATTTAAAATGATATCCTCATAATTAAAAACATAACTTCATTTCCTTTCATATATATATATTTTTTTTCCAAACAATAAGCTTACCATAAATGCTGTTTGCTGATAGACTGCAGCTGGAGTCTGCTGTGGAAAAGTACCACCCATTGCACCAGTCCACTGTCCTGTTCCTGGAACAGTTTGACTCTAAAAAAAATTCATATAAATACGAAATTACTAATATAAAACATCACCTACGGTTTCATTATGAAGTTAAAAGTATAAAATAAACATTCCTCCCCCATTAAATAATTTCTTGTATTTTGTTCTGCAAACTGAATTATTTGACAACTTAATAAGCAAATTAAAGTTACGTAGTTTCATTCCAAAGCTACTGGTTTTTCATTTGGTCATTTCAATAACTTTTAATTTATTCCTATCACTCTACTGGTTGACCTAACTATTTCTTAAATCACTAATTTCCAATTATAAATACTGCTTATTCAGAAAAGCTATCCATAGCTTCTATCACAAAAGGTGCAAACCAAATTTATATGAAATATAATGCTCACAAATGACATAAATGTAAAATGGAATTTTAAAAAATTATATGCCTGTTCCATTCACTTTTGCCTTGAAAAATCCTTCAAAGAATATTTCTATAAGATTACATAGGTATTATTTTTCTTATTACATCAACAAATAAAAAGAAAGTGTGCAGTAATGTTTGTAAGGCTATACAGTTAAACGTGCATACTAATAAAATATTTTTAAAAAATGAAAGAAATGCAAAACGTAAGATAAACTAAAATTCGTTTAACTAACCATCTGTGTAAAAACGTGCTGAGGAGATGATGACCATCCTCCAGATGGAACAGCATTAGGAGCAACAGGTACTACAGCAGCAGGTGCTGTCCAACCAGCAGGACCAGTTGCTTTCACAGGTGGTTTTGGTGATCCCCACTGATGGCCACTTGTCCTTTTTTTTTTTTCAAAAGAAAGGGAAGATTAAATTTCTATGTTAAATGCTTAAAGAAAGCCCATTAATCATTTAAAAAAGATATATCAATATTATAATTTAAAATTATCTAGAACAGCTTGCAAATGCCATCAGTTTCATAACACATGTAGGATATTTAATGAACCATTTTAAAATAATTTCTAGCATAAATTTTAAAGGAAAAAGTTAATATAAGAAATCATTTGTCAATATCAGACTATTTCAACACTTACTTAAAAAAAATTTTCATCTGGATTTTTCTGACAAATAATTCTTTTTTCATTTTTGCCTCAGTTTCTTACATGCATATGTATAAATAATAATTCACAAGTATAACACATATTTTTATCAGGCTAGTCAAAAAACTGGCCAAATAGTAAACATCTCAAAAATGCCAATCAATGATGAAATACCAAAAGTTCATTACATGACTGTAATATACCAGATTTACAGACATTCAGTAAATGAAATGCAAGATTCAAAATTCATTTAAATAAAATTAGATACATAAATTACATACTTGCAGTATACTGCAAGATGGGATACATTCACTGAAAATTAGTAACCTAAAATAGAACAATACTTGGAATTTTGGTTTGATGTTTTAACTGCATTTTTGTTTTAATCTTTTAACTACAACTTTGTTTTTCTGTGTTAATAATAAGCTCATAGCTCGTAAGCTACCAGTTTTAGATAATGATTCTAATTCTCAAGATAAATAAATTTTCTTACTGATTTGAACACTAAATGAGACATAAGTTTTGAAAAAATACAAAATTATAGAGAGTTAAGCTAATTTCATAACTTTGCTTTTTCACTAAGCAAATGATATTACCATCTCACTATTATACTTAAAATGTTGTACAAACATAGATAAAATTTTCAACTGTTAATGAGAAGTTTATAAATGAACTTAAAATGAGCTCAAAGTTTTAATTTTTTTTTTAACACCCTGGCATTTTATGATAGATCAAATACAGAAACATTCTTTACTCCCCCTTCAGAAGATGAGCTTCCTTTAATAAAAGGCACTTGTTTGAAAAATTAAAAAGCACACCAAGTTAAAACAAAGTAATTGGGATTTACACGCACACAAAAAAAGCATCAATAAGGTCACAGGTTTCCCATGAGACCCATGTGCTTTATAAACTATTGCTTGCAACTTATAAGATACTGCAATAACGAACAAATATCCAACCAACAAAATCGGAACAAAATCAATAGAGAAATTTCTGCAATCAATTGGAAAGAGTAAAAGTTGCTACCGATACATCAACCACACAAAATTAAATTCACTGAAATGCTCCTTTGTTATCCCATTAATGTACCAGCTCAATTTACTAAAGATTTTCATATAAACTTGGCATAACCCCAGTCCCATCCATCTGGAGATTATTAAAAATTGGATGCTGGCACAATAGATACATTGAGTTTATGTGGATTACACATTCTGTCAACTAGGTATCCGCACTACACAGTCAAATCCACCCTTACAACCAGGCCCAGATGCAGGCATGGGCTTGAAAACAAACCAGATCAAACTACCAGTATCCAGAGGTCATAGCCACTTGGTAACTGGTGAGGTCAGGGATACTATCCTTGTCCATAATGAAAAAAAGGGTTATTGTAACTCAATAGACCAATTGGATATCCAACAAATTATGAAGAATTACCAGGCATAAAGAAAGACATTTATAAACTCTTTCTATGAATACAGAAACAAAAAATATAACCTTGGTAAAATAGTCCTTAAAACACTCAAATTCAGTAACTGAAGGGAGAGAAACTAGAATCAGAAACAAACTGCAAAATAAAAGTAGCCAGGCACCAACTCTCAAAATCACAGTAATCCTCTTGATCAAATCATTCATTCATATTCCAGCTGACAAAGCAGGTAGGCCAATTGTCAAAGCTCCAATCTTAACAATATTTTTAATGCGGTTCTTAAAGGTGTAAATAAAGATTATCTTATTTTGTTTGAGTAAACTGGTATTTTAGCAGAAAAATTCACATTTAATTTAAAATTAAACATGGTATTTCTGAACATGTAAAAGTAAGGATTTTTAAAGAAATTATGAAGAATATGAAATTCCTTAAAAAACAACCATATATAATTACTCTTTTTTCACTGAAAAGTTTATAAATAAAAAAATAAATTCCTTGAAGCTTTAATATTACATCTGGATGTTTTCTTTGCCACAGCTGTTCTTCAGTTAGCATTTAACAGGCTTGGCAGTCTAAGCTGATTTTGTTCATCATTGGATGTGAATGGCCCCCCGTCTTGTCTATATACCCTAGTATTCCCAATGATTATATATCAAATACTGGCTAATCAGAAGAGCCCTAGGTTTGCTACTACTTCAGAGATATAATAACTTATTGTCAACAATATTTTACGTCTCAGAGTTAGCGAGATAGCCACATTTATCCATTTTCCTCAAATGTGACATATTTTAGTAAGTACAGATAGTTTTTTGTTTATTCACAGCTTAGGTTTCATTTAGAAATGCTTCATTCTGCTTGGTGGCTGCTAGCACACACTTTCAACAAGGACTACTATATTTTAGTTATCTGGTGTATGTGTGCGAGTTAACATTTTATGTTTCAAAACATAAAAGGGGATCCTTCAAACTAAATGTCATAAACAAACATTAATAGAATAAAATACAGTGGATCTTTAAAAAGGACAAACTTAAGTAAAAATCTGTTCAAAATAGAAAATATGAAATTTGTAAGTTTAAAATATTTTCTAAAATAAATTCATTAAACATCAAGTATCACCAACCATGTCAGTTCTGTTCCAAGCAAGTCTCACTGTATCAAAGACTTGAGAAAATAACTCACTTTTTTAAAGCTTGTTTAGGACCATTTATATCCAAATTGGAGGCCAAGCTAGCTAATGTTGAATCAAGATCACCCTTTAGTATGCTGGAAGTGCTTGTTTTATCTCCTGATGTTGGTTTGCTAATGGGTGCTTGTGGTTGAAGTGTATCTCCAAATGCATCAAATCCCCCTAAAAATGTTAAATGCTTCATTTGATAATGGAAAAAATAGCTTTTTAGTAGAATTTTATCCTTTACAGTGATCACTCTTATTTAAAATACTTCATCCTAAATCATGCAGCATACTTTATTTAATTCAAATTTAAATATGTGAAAAATGTATTCTTACAATAGTGTTAAGATTGTAAAACAGAATTTAGAACAGTATTAATACATTATTAAATACAATATTTAGAAATGCAACACCAACCATGAATTATTAATTGAACTATTCATTATGGAAAATTTATTAAAAAATTAAATATTCAGTTATTCGTTCTTTAATCGCGCATATAGATGTAATGTACAAAATCTGTTTTTATGATACTTCAGCATTTCTAAAAATATAGTTCCTTAGCTTTATTTAAAAAATTTAACATGTTCGTTAAATTATGCATGTTTCCAAATATATTCCCTATTTGGGGGGGGAGCAAAATCAAAACAAAATAATGATGTGATTTGTTACAAAACATTCAGTACTCTTGAATACTATATGAATAACATTTTCTGTTCAGTTTAAAATTCCCACTGAAAAGTGAATAATTATGCACAGAATACTAAATGAGGTTGTTTTTTTTTTTTTTTTTTTTTTTTTAAATTACATTTGGTATGCCCCCCACCCCCAGATTCCCAAACAAATTATATACTGTCCTTTTCATTGCTCAGTAAGAAAAGAGATTTATGAAATTATTTTAAATATAAAACTTTCTATGCAATAAAGTTTTATAAAAATATTGAACACTAAACATACTTTTGTGAATATACCATATTCCCAATTTAAACAAATATATTTCAAAACATTATCAAGATATTTATTTCATTTTCAACTTTATTGAATTAGTGAGGCATTAAATTTTAAATGCTTAAATATATTTAAAAAATCTAAGAAGTATTTAAAATTGATTTTTCAGTTTCACTAAAAATTCTAATTTTATGTAATCATTTGGTAGTTACTTTTGATTTCTTCCGAAACTGCTCAGTGTTTTTCAAAGTTATTCTATCACTTTTAATTCTGATTGGTTAATTTTTAAATATGAATCTTCCAACAAATGAAAGTGAAGCAAAGATATTTAAAATTAAACAATCTGAAAATAACATTAAATGCAGAAATATTAAAAGAAAAATTCAGTTCATCTACCTCCTATTATTAAATAACTTGTAGAATTACTACAAGGAAAAGAAAAATTTTCTTCTCTTTCTGTTAATAAAAAATATTTTATCGAAGAATGACGCTTATTACTTAAGCTTTAGTGAATATGTCTGACAATTCTGTAATCTAATATTTTATATACATTCCTACTACTATTGAATTTTTATGTTATTTTAATATGGTAAACAAGCTTTTTTTTTTTGCTTAGTCCAGTCCCTAGACTGGCATAGCATTTAATGTGCAAACAGTCTTTCAGACTTTGCTTCCCATTTATAAATGTAAATGTCTATGTTAGAAATACTGTTTAAAAAATTTAAGGATATATTTTTTAAACAGTATTTATTATAGTATAATTAACAGATTATAAGATTTTAGCATTACAAATGATACAAATAAAAAAGAATGTTTTTTTAAATTTATATAGTTTTAATAGATATTATTTCACAGTTTGCATACCACAGATAAATATATATAGTCAAAAGTCTTTAATCCGGACTCGCTGGGACTTCGACGATTCCGGATTATCGGTTTTTCCGGATTATAGATCATCAGTTTAAATCTGGTAAGATGACATGCAGAAATTATAAAATTAAAAATATGAAATCATAATTATGAAATAAAGAACAATTATGATCTAAAGGGTATCAGAATTTACACACAAAAAAAAAACTTAATGTTTATTTGTTTACTTTATTAAACATTTCTTTCAACGCACGCATACGTAAAGCATACATTACGCATAGCCAAAATTGGAAAATTGCAACCAGAAAACTATTTGATGTGTATTCGTGATATTTATTATGACGAGGAATTTGATTTAAATCATATCAAAGACGGAGTACATAGAGATGAAATACTACATTTAGTATGGAATTATAAGCCGAATAAAATAAAAACATCTGCTCCGAAGATGAGAATAGTGCTTACAGATCAATTTCCAGTTCATTGTGTGCCACGTCGCATTATGCATTGACGCACGCGCAGAAAGTTTGTAGCTTTGAGGTCTGGATTATAGATCATTCTGGATTATAGATGTCCGGATTAAAGACTTTTGACTGTATTTAGATATGCTTGAAGAGCTGATTAGCACATTTATTACAGCTAGCAAAAAATTTTACATTGTAATATTTATTTTAGTGTTCTAAGCATGTAAAATTTAAACTTTAACTTCAGGATTGTATTAGCTTTATTTCATGGCATAAGGAATATGTTTTTTGTGTTACTGGTTTGCCTTTGAAGTGACTATTTTAAAGTAATAGACTAGTGGCCCCTGTGAGATTACATGCAAGTTCCTTTGTAGCTCTTAATATCACCAGCAGAGACTTTAACGGCAGCCTTTAGATTTAGTAACAGCCCTTGAATAATCCTAACCTTTTTGATGACTAACATTTCCAATGTTTAGTAGTCTTGAGATATTTTATGGGCCTTTAAAGACACGACTAAAAATGACATCTTCCAGTCTAAAGACACTTCTTGCTGCAGTCATTCAAATATTTGTTTCCAACTTCAGCAGTTTCAAAATAGACTACATATTTATTTTCATATAATTTTAAATTGGCAATGGTATGTTAAGCACAATCACAAAATTATCCTTTAACTCTTCATATTAATATATTTATATAGGTGCTTCAGTAAAATAAATTTCATTAACAATTAAGATCTGTTAGTGAATATATGATAAGTTTCAATAAATGCTGAACTTCATCCCTCAAAATATACCTTCAAACAGATAATGTTAATTCAAATAAACCTGATGAATTTTACACAAGTTTTGGAAACAAATCTTTCACGAACCTTCCCCCACCTCCAAAAAATTATTATTCTTTTATCTATATAATTTGACTTCTTTTAACATGAAATACATTTAACTATGGAAAAGTAATTGCTTATCTTTCTTTTAATATAAATATATGGTAGAAAGAACTAACTGTTTTGATTTATTACTTACATATTTATAAAACTTTTTTTTTTTTTTTTTTTTTAACTTAAGAGATTTTTAAAAAGGCCTTTTTGAAGGCTATACAAAACCATCTTATAGCAAATGCAAAATCGCTCCACTTGCTTCCAATGAAGAACATTTATGTGATAGAAGACATTACAAAATCACAGAACACAGTAGGAATTTACAATCTTGAGTTAAAGGGTAAGATTACATGATTATTACTGCAGTTTTTAAATAAGATAGAATTTCATACTGAAATGAAGGAAAGTGAAAGCTAAAAAAAATAATAAAGCTATCATCAGTGTCAGTATTTGCCTTAAATAGTAAATAGCATTTCTGTGATAATCTGCTGAATTACTTAATATACAATACACTGTCTTTGCCAATAATATTTATTACCAGATCTCGTAAGTTAAAAAACAAAAAAATGTCTTTAAAAAGTTGAATATTCACTAAAAGAATAAGTGTGATGGGTATTCAAAGTTGAAAACAAAAATGCTAATTCAGGGTCTAAAAAATTTTAAATATATGTAATATGTTGGTAATATACAAAAGTTACGAAAAAATATTCACATTGATTAATGTTAAATTAAATGGTTAAACATGCTATCTTATCCAAGAAAAATATTATTCAAGACATGTACATAAATGAAAAAATATTTTATGATTTGACACAAAAATATTTTCATTATGAAAATAAAATTATAATATAACAAGCAAAACTATTTCATTTCCCTAGTAATTAATAAGCTCATAATAAATTGTAAAAAGTGATACACCTAACAAATAGGTATTTAAAATTACCTAGAGCTTTTTACATATATATTAAGCCATTTCTCAAACCACACATTGGAAAGTTGAAACATTAGAATTATTATGTTTATATAGAGATATAAACATGCACATATGCCATATATTCATATGTATACATAATTGAAGAGAGTTGATATAGTTTTAATCATAAATATGTGATGACATGCAAAAATTCATGCACTTTTGATTATGGACTATTCAGTAGAAAAAGGATAATAATTTTTAAGACAGTAAATTAAAAGAGAAAATAGAATATCCAGCCATTTCTGAGATAGGTCACCTGACATGGAAGCTCCAAAGCCTGCTATTGACTTTGCTGGAGAGCTCATTCCAGAAGGAGGAGTGCCATATCCAGGAGTAGATGAGGCTCGGCCAGTAGGGGTGCTGGCAGCACCAGATACATTGTCAAGCCGCGTTAGAGAAGTAGAGGCAGGAGGTGGAGTAGCACTACCCATGGGAAGCACAGGAGCAACAGGAGGGAAAGGCTGTCCAACAAAACCAGGCCTTGGCCCAGGCATTGTTGAAGGAGTTGGAGAAGCAGCTAATACAGGAGAAGGCTTTGGTTGCATCACCTGATGAATTGCAAAATTTAAATCATCGATACCAGTTCCAGAAGCCGGCACTTTTTGTTGCACCGGCATAGGTAAAGCAACACCTACAGCATTTGCAATAGCTTGAGCCCTGAGGTCAGCAGTTGAACCTGCACCTACTGAGCCAAGACTCATGTCAAATCCTCCAAAAGGTGAAGGTGGTGGAGCACATGGCTGAGCAGATAATGGCTGCTCTCCAAATTCACTCATTTCATTACTATCAAAGCCAAATAAGTCTTTATTAACAGATTCGGCCTCTGGTTGAAATGACAGAGGGGTAACAACAGCTGTTGGTACTGTAGTAGTTGCAGGAGTTGGCTCAAAAGGAGCGCCAAATAGGTCACCAGTTGCAGTTGAAGTTACAATAGTTGAAATTTCTGTTGTGGAACTACTGCCCCATATAAGATCTGATGTTTCTTCTTTTGTTGATGTTACAGGGACAGTAGGTTCCTCAGCAGTTTCAACTGTTTCTCCAAAACCTCCTTCTGGAACATTGGCCAAAATTGGTGTTGTGCCAGCACCCCTCATAAGTTCAGCAGTAGGAGAAGGTGATGTAGAACGACCTCCAAAGGGTTCCATAACAGGAAGACTAAGTTTTGTAGTATTTTTCTCTGGAGCTGAAGAGAAAATTAGTTTTGTCTAGGCAAGAGATAAGCAAAATATCTGCTGGAGGAAGGTATCAGTAGTTGAAAGAAAATAAAATCTGAGACAAAAATGACAGATTATTTTCAACAACACAGATAACAATCCTCCAACTAAAATTTTAATTCCCATGCATAGATCTGTTAATTTTGTTAAACAGTGAAAATGAAGGTTAATATATTATAAGCACACAGGAATATATAGAGTTAGATACATTAAGGTTTACTTAGTTCAAACATGAAAGTGAAAAAATAACATGCTGGTACTGCAGTTGAAATATATACATTATACAGAAAAGCACTTTTAAATTATATAATTTATAGACATTCTTAAAATTTTAAGAAATGAATTAAATACATTTAATAATATCAAAATTTAATTCATACAATTACTATATTCTGAAAGAATCTATCAGCAACATTATTTCGAACACCTTTGCTTTTGTATCCCATAAACTATTCAAGTTTTTATTCCAATAGGCCAACAAAGATTTAAAAGCATTAAAAATATTTATTTAAATAATGAGAATGCTGATAAAGTTTGGTGTTAGAGGATTTTGGTGGCGAATACTTAATTTGAAACAGAAATGTACCTAATTTATTTAGTGCAAGTTTGAAATATCAGCTTTTCTTTAACATTTCAGGATAAAATATAATGAACTTTACTGTAATTATTACTAAAAGTATGCATAAGTAAATGGATTAAATATAAATAATTTAGATAAATTTAAAACTAATCAAATTTTTTAAACAATGTTCAATTTTTCCATTTACTGTTCAAACTGTTGTTCAAATGTTTTGTTTATCCGTTATCTTCTGTATTATTCATTAAATATTACATAAGTTTTTATTTGGCCTTTATTTTTGAAACTGTTGATCACAGACTCATTCTTCCATTCGACTGTTTTGACATTTTTTAATTAAAAAAATTTTGTAAAAATTACAAAATCTCAGTTTTTATGACCCTTAGTGGCAACAGTTCTTTTGCAAAAGCATATACTGATTCTAAAAAATAAAACATGAATGTTTGACCCTGCATCGTAAATTTGACAGAGATACTTAAAGTGCAAGATCATGTTCAGATAATGTATACAAAATAAAATGCTTGCATTTGTATACAAATAAAAATCAAATATTGATTCAAAGAAAATTTTTGATATTAAGCTATAAGCATTGTTACACAGACTTTCATAAACTTTTGAGCAATGTAAATTTAAAAAACAATTCATAGAATCATAAAAAGTTTGTTTGCTAGAAAATAGAAGCAGGTATAGACACAGAGTCGACTTGTAATATTACTTGCCTAAATTTAAAATGGAAAGTAGTGACTTTTTTGTATGATTAGGATTCTAAAATAAAACTGTATTAATTATAATGTAATTTTTTAAATATTGGTAACATTTTTAGTGTATGAAAACAAATTACCTCTGAGAAAATTTTTTTCTACACACCATACATAACAAAATTATAAATTAAAGAATGCTACACTTTAGAAAATTACAAATATATATATATATATATAAATATATATCATTTAATGACAAAGGAAAAATCAACCTCCAATTATTTTTATTTTTTAACTGACCCCTGAAAGCAAGCCAAAAAATGTCCCCCCCAAAATTTTTTTTTTTTTTTTTTAAATTAAATTAAATACAACAGTATTTGTTGTATGGATATCGTGTTTTGGGTTTTATTTTTTAGAATGTATAAATTTTTACTAAATACAACTACAGGAACCAAGAGACCACATAAAATAAATAAATAAATTATAACAATTTGAATAGCATATTTTTTTTATCTCTAATCAGAATATGCATAAATCTTTTACATGAAAAATATGAAAAATATCATAAAAGCATGTTTTCTTATTTTCAAGTACTCAATTTATTCCAGATTTTCTATTCCGTCTAATAATGTTTCAGTTTCTTATCCCATCTGCATAGATAAGGTCTTTCTATTTTAACAAAATTGGTAAAGGAAAATATAAATTAAGCATCTTCAAAGGCCTTATAACATCCTAAGCAGTTACCACATATAATGGAAAAATTCAGATAATACAACATAATTTCACAATGCACACAAGTTATACACTATGCACAAACTTAAGTTTCTGTTTCAAAGACTACAAAAATTAAAGCAAAGAAATTTGTGGTTTTTAGCCAAGATACACACCTGATGAAGCAATAGGAGCATTATCAGCAGAAGAGTCTTGGTTAGCTTATAACAGAAATTGCACACATTAGGCAATTTATAATTGGCATAAGATAAGCAATAAGCATAACATTAGTTATAAGCATAAAAAGCAACAGATAAATACTGCAGGACATTTGATAAAAACAATAGCAAACAAAGATAAATGCACAAAAACATAAAGCAAAGTAAATTTTAAATATTTTAATATGAATCCATTTAATACTTAACATATTATGAATATATAGAACATTCATTCAAACCCTTATTAACAGAATGAATGACATTTTTATTAATCAAACTGCCGATACTTCAGAAATTAATAAAATTACATATGCTATAAAGGAGAAAAATATTCCACAAAATTACATATTTTAGTTGATTTGTCTTCATAAAACTGAATTCAGAATTTTAAATTGGGATTCTCAATTCATATTAGATATTTCTAAATTAAAAATTGTGATATAAAACAAATAAACCAAATATTGATTTTAAGATTAGATCTATACTAGTCAGTTTTACAAAAAAAAAAACCCAGATTACGTAACCTTGTATGGGACAGTTCTATATCTCTTGCTCTACTGAACTGATTGTTGAATTTTAACTAGTGTTTTCCATGTCTTAAAAGCGTGACTTAGGATATATATAGCATGTTTCAAAATAGGTGTTCCGACTCAAAATTGCCTTTTTTTGACATCACATACCAATTTCTTCTATATTTCAATTCTACAACTCAAATTATGCCAAAGTGCCAAGTTTTGTAACAACCACACTAGCAGGTTTTAAAGAATTAGCTCCTCCATGTTAATTGAATTTTGGTATATATTTATTAATACAGTACAAAGACCGAAATCCGGACATCCACTATCCGGAATGATCTAAAATCTGAACCTCGAAACCACCGACAATGTTTCTTTCCTAGGCACATTCGATTCCACTCTCCAAGCATAATAAAACATCTGGAGAGTACCGATTCTTAATTTCACTTCGACGCTAAATAAAATACTTTGTTATTAAGAAACAAACATTTTAGTATAAATTTGTATGATCAGTAATTTGACTCCGTTGCTGCATATCAGCTTTTTGGCACAAATGTCAAACCAAAACATTCCACATAGATACATCGTTGATCTGATGCCAACATGGTGATTCCTTAATATAATTTCCTTTCGTCACCACTTGTTTATCAAAACATGACAACGTGAGTAATGACTCGTGTAGTGATGCCTAAACAATATTTTTTATGACAGTAATTAAATAATAAAGGAGTATGGTAACCTTTTATGTTGACATTACACTTCGCAACAATTACAGATTTAAGTTAAATGCGCTAAAAAATTTTGACAAGGTAAAATTTAACAAAATTTTATTTTTATACGCTAAAAATAGATTTTATTGATGATACTCATAGACCCAAAGATTACATTTAGGGCTATTTTAATTAAGAATAACTGATTTGTTATTAACATAAACCCAGAACCAGCGATAGGGCTCGTAATGGCCGCAAGGAGTCACAGAATTTAGGACCCACACAGACTGCATCAGGTGGCAAGATATCTAGCTTCAATAAGGCTTAAGTATGTGGGAATTTATTCATTCAGAGCTCTGATACACCTAAAGCATCTAAAAGAAATAGACACAAGTAAAAAAAAAAAAACTGAAAGGTTTCAGATTTTAAATTACGTCTAAAGTGGCTTTAACATTTTGTGTGTTACCTTTATTTATTAAATATCATGTTCTTCGCACTTAAACCATAAATTTCAGTTCAATACCAATGTCACAAAAATAATTTTAAAATGAGCATATCTTTAGAATTTCCAACACACAGTTCTGCGCGCTGGAGATAAAAAGTGGAGAAGCGGTAATAAATGAAGATGATATAAAAGAAGTTTTTCATTGCGATGACAATGCAATTATCAATCAATTAATGAATGGCAAAATTTGTAGTATGGTTCTAGATCCATAAAATACCTCTACCGTTAATGAAGAAAGTGACAAAGAAGTTACTGAAAACGAGAAAATTTCGATTAACAAGTTAGTCGGAATTCTTGAAACAGCAGTTACAGGACTTCAACAATGTAACTAAACAAGAGATTATGTCTGTTACAGAATTAAATAGAACGTATTAGCACAAAAAACGGAGCAACTTGAACAACTTACATTGAAAGAAATGTTTAATAAGATAAACAAATAAATATTAGGCCCTTTTTTTGTAACTTTCGATACCATTTAGATCATAAATACTTCATTATTTCATAAATCGCGATTTCATATTTTTAATTTTATAATTTCTACATGCCATCTTACTAGATTTAAACTGATGATCCAACATTCGGAAAAATCCCAAATCCGACATCCCAAATCCCAAATCCTGAAGTCCCGACAAGTCCGGATTTCGGACTTTGTACTGTATCTCTGTTTTTATTAAACTTATTCGTTTCTTCCTTTCACTTATCAAAACTTAGGTTTATACCAAATAAAATTCATCCATTTTTTTATTTTTAAAAATTTGCATTTTAAAATAATTTTTATAAATTTTTCGAAAAAATCTTGTATTATAACCTATAAAATGTTTACAATCATCTTAAAATATATCAAAATTGCCTACAATATACATGAATTTACATTTTGGCACATTTTGAATTTTGGCATATTCATTATAATTAATAATAATGCCAAATATGGTTTATGCACTTTGTTAAAACTACTTGATTAATTTTTTCACATTCGCAAACAGAGAAATGGAAATGGAGAAAGGTTGCCATATATTAAGAAGTTCACCAAGTGAATTATTCTTGGCCCAAACTAAAAAAAAAAAAAAAAAAAAAAAAAAAAAAAAAAGCACCAAGATAAATTTTTATATTTATACATAAATGTCTCACAAAAAATTACAAAATTTTATATCTAGGCATAATTCGAGTCGTAGAATCGAAATACGTTAAAAAATTGGTATGTTATCGGTTTTGTGTCTAAATATCTATGTTAGAATAATGCTATATATAAATCTAATATATATCCTATCTCACTGCTTTCGAGACATAGAAAATGCAAGTATAATTTCATCAATCGGTCCAATAGAATGGAAGATATAGTACTGTCCCCCTTTTTTTGTGCAAGGTGTACATGGAAATAAAATATTTTACATGTTCTTATCATTGATCTCATTTGTACAATGGCAAATTCTTAGTAAACTTGCATCTCATATCCAGTAAAAATTACACAAATCTACAACACTCATTACCAGTGTCATAACATATTTAATGTATGCAACATACCTGCACTAGGACTATCGCCAAAGGCTGCTGCAAATGATGCATCGGATGCAAATGCATTAGTTGATCCAAAACCTATTTAAACCAAACAGGAAATTTGTATGTCTTGTACATAAAAACTTTGTCAAGCCACTTATATCCATTAAAAATAAAATAATCATTCTATACAGAATATAAATTAATAGAGTTTCATACAATATTCAATAAGAATATACAGTGAACCCTCTGGAAGTGTCTAAGAACATTAACCAAAGCAGTGATAATTATAATATTTTTCTAGACAACCACTTCTTGCCCCAACAGACCAACAAAATGTCTAATTTTACTAACAAATTAAAATAATGTGCTAAACAAAGGAAGAAGTTTATGTACAGTATTCCCTCCAAAAGCATGCTTGTCATACATCAAAGAAAATTTTTCCATAAGAAATAATGGAAATTAGAGTGATTAGTCACATAACCCAAAAATATTTATATAGTAATTATTATTACAAATATAAAGGAAAATACACAAAACAAATTAATCTCTTTTCATCTCTGAAAAGAATCATGGGTAATTAAAATCCTTGTTACCTGATAGCTTATTGAAAATTTTTCCTCGACTAACAGATTAACACAGAATGCACCCAATGATAGTTTCCCCCCCCCTCTTTTTGAGGATTTTCTGAAAATGTGATGTTGCATTATAATTTTAAAAAATTATTCTCACAGCTTTAACCTTTTTCAGGTGGAGCTTTTATACAAAACTTTGCACTCTTTTATACATTTCCCTAATCATATTTGAAGAGGAAAGTGTCTGTCTTTTCCTTCTTGGATGAAAACTCGTCCACAGTCTCCTACTGTTGCTCACAATGCAGATCCATCAATTTGTTAGTAGTCAATTCCTAATCATATTCTTCTACTAATTTTGGAATTTCAGGCTCATTAGCCTTGAATAACAACTGGTGGCTACGTTCCATTAGCAAACCCTTCAAAGACATATTCAAGAACATAATCAAGTCGCAGTTCTCTGCAAGCAGAATTGATGGTTTTCTTTGTAATATCATTCGAAGCTTTATTGATGATCTTAAGACTGTGCATGAAACAATTCTTTCCAATAAAGACCCATCTCATCAGAGTTAAGAACCCGATAACACTCAAACTTTGAGCTTCTGGAACTTAACAATGAAAGTCTCAGCTTGCTTTAATATCCGGACTAGCAGCCTATCCATGATTCACAATACTAAGGAATACATTTATCCCTTCAAGGTCATCAAACCATCTCCTGCTTGCCTTGACACCTTTTTGAAGCAAAAAATATTTTGGAGGAAACAACACAAAGTGAAAACATCATTGTACAAAACATTGTAGGAGAGAAAATATCTGAAAAATTACTGCAGAACATTTTATAAAAAGTAAGAAATATACAATAGCAAAGAAAGATAAATGCACAAAAACAAAATGCAAATTTAATTTTGTCAAGTTTAGTTCTAAAACGCAGTAGTGCAAAACATTGTTGTCGTAAATAAAGCAATTAGAAAGCTTTGCAGCTTAAAAACATCATAGTAAGAAATAAAGCACCTACAAATCGCTGCAAGACGATAACATTGCAAGCATGCGTTTTTCAAGATTTAAAATCTGTACACGCATATTCGGGCAATGATTTACAAGAAGGAATAAGGAATATTTTTACTTTTATATTTTTGAATTAAGTAATAAATTTTTACTGGTAACTTTAGCATTCAAAAACTGTAAATGATTGTACAAAATGAATGCTACTTACAGCATTTAACAAAATTTTATAATTTGATTAATAGAGGAAACCACATGCAGTTACTCATCTTCCTTTTTCTAATCTTTTTTAGACAGTTTTCTATGAAAAATTATAAAAAAGATTACTTAATTGCTTTTATTAGTTAACAATAAAAGTTTAAAATTCTATTAACTGCTATACCTAGAATTCTTTTTCTACTCACTTTCTTTCAATCTTTGAATGCTTTAATTTCCTTTTTAGCAAAAATTTATTAATTCCAAAATATGAAATAAAATTTAAAATATTCTTCATTCCTTCTTGCACTCACAAATCAGTATGCAATTTTTTTAAAATGAAAATGCATGTCTGCGATGTTATAATCATGCGATGATTTGTAGATGCATTATTTTTTACATCGATAAAAACTGCAAAGTTTTTAAATTGCTTTATTTTCAATCACGATGTTTTGTACTATGATATTTTGGAACTGTGATGTTTTTTTCTTGCTTTCTTTTCCCCCCACTAAGCTTTGTTCGACAACGTTTTGGCTTTGCATAGTTTTCGCTGTCATATTTTCATCCATGATGTTTTTACAGTGTTGCTTTAGGCTGACACCATATCTGACAATTTACTTATGATAAAAGTATACAAGGCCCATGCCTTCTTACAGATAAAAGTTCTCAGTCACAGTAAGACTTACTAACTGCTTGTTTTTATCCATATCAAAGCAACTTTTCTACATTTTCCAGAAAACGTGGCCATTGCTTTTATACTCTGACACCTTTCACTGTGCTCTAGTTCCCCTTATTGCTTCTTTTCAACACTGTGCCAGTTGTTAATACAGATTTACAGAATTATGTAATATTAGCTGCTTTCATACCTGATGATATCCATCTTAACATTTACCATAATAATTTTTTTTCCTCCCTACTGCATTTGTTTTCAACCCTTTTCTTCTTGGATGTCATTGTTGCTGTACAGTTAATAAAGAATAATCACTTCAGTTTAAAAAAGTACACAAATATGGTAACAATGCTATAATGAACAAGAGTCACAACATTATAATGTTGACTATATGACGCAGGCATGCTGACTAAGACTGAACATGGGAGGCAATTACTCATACTCTTACAGCAAGAGAAAGAAAAACCATTGCGGTTAGCAAAATGCTTGGCAAACAAAGAACATATATATTAAAAGGCATCACTGATTTATGAAGTTAAAATTCCTTAAAATTTTTTGCTCCTCTTGCAAAACACTCTTAAACCAAGTTCCTTGCAATCCAAAGTTTTACAATATTTGCATTTCTTATTAGAATAAAATTATTTTATGGGAAACTGTAGTTAATAACTATATTACATAATTATACAGATTTGTGTAAAGCATTTAAAGTTATCAGCATTGAGGCATTTCATTCAGTGTCAAAGCAAAATTAAAAATACGGAACCTTTAGTATTTTTCCATGATGTAGTGTAATTTATTACATGCGTCTTATTCGATTCCACAGGTCAGTCAGAATATTCGATCCTCGGCGTAAGAAAGGTTGATTCAGCCCTTCATATCTTTATATCTTTTAGTGGGTCGATACACCCACTAAAGATACCAAGTTTGCTTGGGGATTAAACAACGGGGGTCCTGCAACAAGCTGACCACTTGTCTAGGACATATGCTGATGCATCCTGGGGCTCAAAGGTCAAGAAAGCAGAAAAAGGGCACTGCAAGCAATGGCCCACTAAGGCTGTTGCAACACTGACTTTTTTTTTTTTTTTTCCCTGCACTTAGGATATTGCATTATAATAAATTTAGCACAATCCAAAATTGGATTATGCTAACTTTTTTTCTTATTTTCTGTCTGCGTAATTCACAAGTCAATATTCAAGGGGTGCCCAGTCACTCAATTTTTATTTGAGATTACTGTAGTTTGACATACCTATTTTGAACTTTACAGTTCAGTATATGTATACATGTTTTAATTTCCTCAAATTTAAGTAATTCTTTGATTAAGATTTCTAAAAAACAAAAAGTAATAACATTTCATTTCAAAATATGATTAAATGTTATTCAAAATGTTGCTGGCAGTCAGTTTGTTGCAAAAGAACATGGCAGGATAAGAATTAAATAGTTGTTTTATAAAATCAAACTGCCTTTGTGATTTAATAGAAGAAACACACACACACACATATATATATAGACTTCCTCTTTGAAATTATTAAACAAATTCCACTATTTTTGTAATTTGTAATTTTATTAATATTACAAATCAATATTCCATACCTCTATTTCAGTATGTTTCTTCAAGATTTCAACAGCTTGAATACGGTAAAATTTATTATGCAAATCGATAGTCATTTTGACCAATTGCCATAATCTAGACAACTAACTTGGAAGATAAAAGTCTTGAACAATGAATGTAATCATAGAGAGGATTCACTGCATAATGGATTGCACATACTACGCTACTACGATAGTTATATGCATGACTATTATACAATTTCAAAATACAATGCTATTTTTACCAATGCTTCGCCCTTTCCCATGTACTTCCTTTTAGTAGTCTATCTGAATGAGAAAAGAACAATTTGTTGACCTTTCAATTTAAAATTAAATACAGCTTAATAGTTAATTGTGACTCATAATATTTTGACTAAATATATTTATGCTGTTGCATGTGTATGGATTTGTAATAGTTCGAATGCACACAGAACTGATGACGGCTTGATAACAATAAATAAAACTACTTTTTTCAAAAAAAAAAAAAAATTGTACAACTTTAGTCAGTACCACAGAGTACAATCAGTAGTTGCACTTTGAACTACTAAGAGTGTTAAGCACAGCACAATGCAAGGTGCATTTAAAGAACATACTACAAAGTCTACTCTGAATTGAAGAACTGAGACCTGATGTTCTCTCCAGTCTTATACAGTTTTCCCACGGCTGCCAAAAAATCTACAGTACCTTCCATTTCACGAAATTACTGGATGGCACATATTAAAATTACATATAAAGTTCAACTACGGTACCAATTACAGTTATACAGGGACTGGACCTGAATCTCGTTAAATGGTCACCAAGTTTTGACACTGATTTGTGGGCAATTTGGGGACAAAATTAGTCGCCAAAATCATTTCCAGCTTGGCGATATCTCGCCAATTTAATGAGATAGCCATCTACCTCAATGCTATACAGACTTGCCCCTGTAATCTTATTTTTATGGCAGAGTTTAGTTTCTTCAGACTTTCCATGTTATATTACACAAAAGCTACTACAATTTCACATATGATTTCACTAAAATTATGTAGAAATACAAATTTCATAACAATACTTTTAAATGAACTCCACAAAATAAAAATACAAGATTTCCACTAAGTATCTTTGGCTACCTATAATAAATTGTATTATTTCAGAAACCAAAAATAAATTTAAATATCTTGGGAACCAATAACAATAGCATCCATTGTCTAGTTTTGTTTTCTTGCAAATTCATCAAATTTTATCACCAACAGGTAGCAGATCATAATGTTACTAGAGTGCATGTCCTTTGTGTTTGCAAGTAAAACAACTAGCACCCATACTGTTGCGAATTTCTTGAATAATCAATTTCCACAGATTAGATTAGAAGAGAAAACTATTCAACAGTTCCTGCAGTCCTCTGATATGATATCCCTATCCCCAATCTACATAGCCATGCCACATTCTTTATAATGCTTAGATGATCTTCGAGAAAGAATTGTTTCTGTATGTAATGCCTCATGAAGATCTGTTGATCTAAGTCATGTTTTATTTTATTTTTTTGAATTTATGATTGGTGGTTATAAAACATGATGAATTTACAGTAAAAATTAGATGATGCTAGGATTTTTGTTCTCTGAAATGCTTAAAATTTTTATCAGTAGATGTTCATTTCCCTACATTTGTTAAATTTGCAAATATTTAAAAAATTATTAAATAGTTAACTAGAAATATTTAAAGCAAAATGAGAAAACTATTAGTGGGTTCATGTTTGCGAGATATATACAGATATTTAAAAACTTCATGATTTTCACACACAAATTCCAATAAAATCCCTAAAGTTTTAATAGCATGAGTAAACTTGCTGTGAAATGAATAAGCTTGCTTGCTCTTACTTTGAAAATATATGAAAAATATTAAGCCTAGAGACTGATAGTTTCTGATCCTGCATTTTTTTCTTACTGCAACATTTATGCTCATTAAAAAAAGCTTTTTAGTTTAAAAATGCCCTCACCAAGACACAGTAAATTATTTTTCCAGATTAATCAACAAGAATATAAATGATGAAAACAGTACAATGCTTGGAAAAATACTTGTTTAAAACAACTTACCATTGGTAAACGCATCAAATGAATTCTGGTCTTTTTGTGCCTGAGGTTGCTGTTGACCACTAAATAAGCTATCTGCAAATGGATTACTACTAACATTGTTATTCAGACATAACAGATCATCACTAGCTGGTGCAACAGAATCATTAGTATTCTGATCTGTAGTAGATGTATTGAAAAGATCCATTATCTTTTGGTTAGACGTCGGTGTAGTACCGGCTGCATTTGTAGGTTCTGAAGGAGACGACAAAAACGGATTGGTTTTCACCGAGCCTGCTGGTGGCGATATTAATTCGCTACCAGAGCTCATTTCTTTCAAACGTCGCTCCTGAGGATTAAATTTCATTAATTGTAGAACATTTAAAAATAGAATAAAAAATACATTTACCATTCTTGAGAAAATTCCCAATTTCAATTATTAGTCTTTAAGTAGAAACTTCTCATTTATTTCCAATACCAGCATGTGCCAATATTATAACATTAGGTTTATAATATTACAGAATACTATAACCTCAGCAGTTAAGAGACTGGAGTTGTAAGAAAATAGTTATGTTTGAAGGAAAAAAAATCTAAATACTTCCTGTAGCTCTTACTAATATTTTCAAATGCATTATTATAATTTTTAGCTAAGTAAGGAAAAAATATGTATTCCTCTTAAGTGAGGAAAATCATGCAATTATCTCACCTCTAAAAGTCAAAGGCATACTAAAGCCCCTTTTAGCACAGGAAACATGCATAGTAATTATTATACAGTTTTAGAAAATAAATAACCCAAACCTAAATATTAGTAATTAGTTACTAAAGCATATCATATACTACAAAGCATGCAATTTATACTACAAACAAGAAAAAAAAAAAAAAAAAAAAAAAAAAAGCAATATTTTGAGCATCAAATCTTAATTTGAATAAAGTCCAATTTCTCCAAATAATCATAAAAATTTAACACAGTATGTCAGTTATTCCAAGTGCAAACCGAATCACAAATATTTTTCATAGTTAAAATTTTATCAAACATCAGAAACTAATTTCAGTTCAAGTGTTATGAAATCCATGAACAACAATTTTATATTTTAAACTAATCCTCATTAATGAAAATTAATAACTAATTTATATCAGTCTGGAAATCAAAAGCCCATCAATAAAATAGCAATAAATAGTATCTTATTAAATAATGAAGAATCTGCACGCATATTTCTCTCCTTTTGCAAAAAAACAGCGACAACTAGTCGCCAGATTTTGAATATGTGTAGTTTTTCACCTGACCATAGGCATCTCAAAGCCCAAACTCTGAATTTTCTTTTTTTTTTTTTAAATTAAATTTATGCTTTGTCTGAACTTCACGAAATTTTGATTAAGTCAACAATTTGAAAGCAGTTTGTTGCCACTTGGCAAAGCATAAGATATTTATGTTTCAATTTAACCAGAAAACTCGCTGATTTAAAATAAATCTGTTACCACTTAGCAAAGCATAAGATATTTAATTATCTTTTAAATATTATCAATAAACTCGGCTATTAAAAGAAATATGCTGCCACTGTCCAAAATAAAATATCTTATCATCCATACCACAATGCTTTGTCATGTATCAAAGCGTAAACTATTTACTTTCAATTTATTTATTTATTATCTTCATGAGATCATTTACTTTTGGTAAAATTAATTACTTATGCATAAAACTATGCTGACTTAACCATCATTTTTCATATTTTATGTCGCACATTTCCAATTTATGTATCATATACTACAAAGTATTTGCAAGTTTTATTTTATGTAGCAACACATGCTGAAATTGCATGCTCTGAGTCATATAAATTTTAAATGTGTTCAAAATTCAATAAATAGAACTGTTAATAACAATCCAGAATTATGTTTTATTTTAAGATCGAACAGCATCTAAATATTTCCCAAACAGACAGATAAGTAGAAAAGCAAGTTTTATTAATAAATTCTGCAAACTGTAAGCAGCAAGGGAACTGTTAATGTTATATAGCTACTTTAGTTATTACCAGGATCAATTATTTATTGAGTTCTTGCAACTGTTTTTCTGAAGTTATTAACCCAGCAATTAAAAAAACCACTTCATTTTGAAAATTAAGTCTTTTTAAATTACAGATTTATTTTCCCAAATAAGAATAAGGCACTTAAATCATATTTTTACAAAACAAATACTTTAGCTCATATTTATTAAATCAAAGAATAAATGTTTAAAAACATAGAATAATTTTTTTAGGTTTATATGTTCTAAAAATCAGTTTTATAACATGACTTTCAAGTATTTAATATGGATTTCATTACTTTCTGATGCATATTTGAGCTCAAAATATTGCTTCGATGAAAAGGTGCATGCACTACAGAAAAGCAGCAGTGAGAAGCATACTGACCGAATCTTCCCAAGCAGGTTGCTCCCATAGAAGAGGAGAATCATTGTCAAACTAAAGCAAAAAAGCAATCAGTTGGCACATACTAAATACAATCAAGGGTCTTACTGACTGATTATTAAAGGTATTTTAAGTAGTACCTTAAATTTAAAAACATAGATATGAAGAAACAAGAAATGAAATAAAGTTATATCATTTAGAATACTTATATCAAAATCTTCACAATAAATATACATTGAAAATGACTTATACAAATAGCATATAAAATAAATATAACAAGAAATATGGTATTCAGGTGCTTATAAAATGTACGTGATTATCCAATATGTAGATGTCCTAAATGTATCCACCAATTTTCATACAATTTTGAAATGGACTCTTAATTTTATGATAGGCAACTCAGATTTTACATAAATCCTCAAAAGAAAATCAATGGGTTATTATGTTGCATTACATTTGCTGATCTATACTACAAAACATTCACTTTTATACATTCTCACAAAAAGTTTCAGGTATTGGTGATCACCAAGCTAAGTTGCCCTAGAAACACATTCCAGATATTGATAAGACATCGCACTGAACCTAAAACGTTCATGCAGAAATCTAAATTCCAGCCTTCATCTTGAATATCAGGCATGAAATGTTATGACCTCAAAGTGATGTCATATGAATATCCAAAACCTTTTCAACACAATTAATGTGGCCTGATTTTAATTGTGGTAATTCTTGTGATTATCTAAAGAAGAAAATCTAGCAAAAACAACCAAATGCTATGCAATGACAAGTAGCCATTGAAAATTCTTATGGAAGTAAACAGAGGATTTGTAGAAGCACAAAGAAAGAGACCGAGCAGGACACTTCTCACCTTCTCACACTCCACATGCTATGGCTGGTTAGCACACATAAAGAATACTTTAATTTCAATTACTTGCAATACTTCATACAATAAATATTTTATAAGCCATTTTCAGTGTATGATATTTTGTACAGCATTTTGCAAGAATATTCTATATATTAAAGTACAATAATATATTTCTAAAGCTAAACTTAAAATACATTTCTATGAAATTAAAAATCATATTGATTTATGTTACAACAATTTTAAGTAGAGTAACGGAAATCATAGATTAAAATAAAATAGCTGAGCCATTTAGAAATTTAAATTATCAAATCATGAAAGAGAACAACTAAAATTGAAAACCAATAACAGTTACTGAAATACTGCATAGTGCTCAGTTAAAAATTACACACAATTTTTAACATATCTCCAACTTAAGCATATAAACAACGAAAAGGGGTTTTCACCCCTTTTAAAAATTCTTGGTCAAGTACCAATTTATTTTTTTTACACGTTTCTCAAAAAATTACATGAAGATACCTCAGATTATAATTATATCAGAATTAATTTCCAAATTTTATATATATAGATATTAAAAAAAACTATAGTCTCTGTAAAAAGAAAAAGGCATTACACACAACTTAACACATCTGATGACTTATACATACTACAAAATATGTTTTAAAAATAAGAAGTTTGAGTCATCAAATTCAAAAAAGAATAAATAAAAGATTATTTTAAGATTGAAATTTTCAAAAATCTAGCAAAAACTTAAACTTCACACATAATGTATTGTATAATGAAGTACCTAGAAAATAAATGTAAAACAATATAATACACTAGGATCACATTTATATAATGCCTTACTTTAAGCATATCTAAATTATATTAACTTTTAGTTGTTAGATAAAATTTTCATATTTCCCCAATAAATATTTACATTATTTATTGGATTATTCTAATTAATATTATGGCTTGATCAAGCTGAATTTTTAATCACATTAATACAGTACTAAAACTAGATGTTGCAAGATTTGAAATCTGTACTAGTTAGATACAATTTTTTTCATGAAGGTAAATATCACATTAAAAAATGTTTTCTCACATAAGATAAAATCTTAAAGCAATTTCAGTTATTTTAGTCTGTTTTGAAAGCTTCAAATACTAGAAAATGCTTTCAAATTAAAAAAATTACTCTGCATATAAATGAATATTATAATCATCCTCCAAAAAAATTATTTTTTTTCTAAGACCCTAGTTAGCTCTTTAGAAACATCTACATTTTCCCCACCTGATCATAGAACTTTCTTAAAAGCAATTAAAATTATCTTCCTCAGATGACTTCATAAAATTTATTCATGTATTATGTGTTGTATATTCATAACAACTTGGTGAAAAAAAATGTCTAACAATTTTAATCAGTCAAAAGAATTTTATTTAAATGACATTCTTATTATGTTGTTAAATCATGAATTTTATTAAGAAAATAATCAGCTAAAAACCTTACTATGTAAACATTTTTAATTTCCCTCCCCTTAACAAAACAGTAAGATAGATTGACAAATCACTTAAAACTTACCAAATGTTGCTCACCGCTTCTAGTTTTATATATCAAAAGTGTTAATTTGTTATAAAAATTCTACATGCAATTTATCACATAAAAGCAACCTGAAGCTTTATAAGTCATGCTACTGTTACATCAGAACTAATGCACATTATAAACTTCTGAAATGGATTTTTGATCCTAATAATTTTTAAAAATCCTCAAAAATTAAATAATCACAGATAACACACATTTCAAAGGAAACTGATAATCACATTTATATGATACTATGATATGAAAGCATAATAGCATTTAAATTAAACATACTTCTGAGATAATACATTTAAATTAAATATACTACATCAATTCTGAATTGTATCAAAAATTATTTTAACATTATTCAGCTTACAATGATCAAAGTCTGCCAAATATACCATATCACTTATTAACTATGACAATCTAACGTCACTGATAATATAGTCACATGCAGTTTTTGAAGAGTTGTACAAGTTCTGTAAACGGTTCCAGTACAAGACTATGCCAGTTCACAATTTGCATATTCTTTATTCAAAATGCTGAAAAGCTTAATAGTCAGTAAATTTATGCCCCATTAAATTTCATTCATTTAAATAACATTCAATTTTATCATTTCATTCTCTTCTTTCCTCATGTCCTCAATTTCGTAAAAGATTAACTATGTTTCTAAAGCACACTTCTAAAACATATTTACACTCTGTAACTTAATGTCCATTAGCTCTTAGAACTGACTATTATATTTAAAATATTTACATGGATAAAATTTATTTAATTATTACTCAATGTTTTCTACTTTAGACTGATGCTAAAATATTCCATTTTTTACAACTACATAAAAACAGCAACATATCTTAAATGATGAACAAAAATTTATACTGAAATACATGAAAATTTGACTGCTTAATTCTCAATTTTATAATAATTTCAAAGTACAGAGTATATGAATCTAATTCTAAAATTAGGATGTCAATATTGGTAAAATCTTTTCTCATGAATTGCAATGTAATATAGATTGTTTATGAATCAGTTATTTTCTTTAATTACACATTAAAAACTAATAAGTAGTAACCAATGAATTAATAAAACAATTTTAGCATATGATCAAAAAGGCCAGCTAGATACTTAAAATTATGTATACTTTATGGTTGCATTTTCCACACAAGACTAATTATAAAAGGTACGGCTGAACTTCAAGCACTTAATAAAAAGACTAACTTTAGAGCAACAAAAATAGCCCAAATTTGCCAGGATCCACCATCTCCCCTCTCTTCCCCTTTCCACTGTAAATCTACTAAGGTTTTTTCAAATGGTGCCATGACTCCACTAGTGTTGCAATAACGAACTCAGATACATTTCCCTTTCAGCATGAATAGATTCTTCTTGTCATTCTGCCAGATATAGGTCCCACAGCTTTGGTATAAATACTTGTTGGATAGTTTTTACATAAGTAGGAAATTTTTGAAAATGACACTTAAAGAGTACAGAAGCTATACTGCTAGTTTTAAGTTTAATGTACCGTATTTATGCGAATCTAATGCGCCATCGAATCTAATGCGCATCCCCATTTTAAAACTTTAAATATTAAAAAAATTGTTTGTCGGCGAATGTAATGCGCATCAATGATATGAGGAATTTATTGAATCTTATTTTATACAACAATGGATTTGTATATAAACTATAAATTAATGGTATGATAATTTTATTTAAATTTAGATACCATATTTTATACAACAATGGATTTATACATAAAGTAACAGAACATAGAATTAACCTATTAGTGGGCTATTGTCATGTGAAACAATCATTGTTAATTAGCATTACCGTATATACGGTATCTATCGTAAAATATGAACATGAAATAAATCGTAACATTTCTATCTAGCTAACAGTTTCTACAATCAGTGATTAATAGTAAACGTCTTTATTCACTAATGTTTTCATCACTGAAATCCTCGCAGCTCTCTTCGTCAGAAGCAGATTCATTTCTTCTTTCCTCATCATCGTCATCCTCGGCGTTCCAGAGCACGTCATCGTCACTGCCATTCAATGAATTTGAAAGGCAGCATTTCTTGAAAGATTTCACAATCATTGGTGCTTCAATGCTTTTCCAGGGGTTGTAACACAGACGTCATCCCTCCAGGAATGATAACAAGATCACTGCCTAGGATCTTCTTTTTTACGTCGTCGTCGAGATGACCACGAAATGCGTCCAGACAAAGCATTGATGATGGATTAGAGAGCCCACCGGGACGGCGTTTCCATACATTTCGGAGCCAATCAAGCATTAATGATTCCGTCATCCACCCCTTCTCTTGGTTTCGAATCAGGACATCATCTGGGAACAGCTTTTCATTCTTAGGGGTTTTAGGGCATGTTTTCCGTTTGAAGATTAAGAAAGGGGGGGGAGTTTGCACCCGTCTGCTGTTATTGCCAGCATCACTGTTACGTGTTTGTTTTTCACATCCCGAAGTTTAGATCATAACTTCCCTAGTCCCCTTCTCCGTAATGGCGTAGTTAAAAGGCATATCAAACGAAATTGGCCATCTCGTCAGCATTGCCAATTTGCCCCATTGAAAAATCCTTTTTTCCTTCCGAAGTGAGAAGACATACTGCGCTGAAATGTTAGTAGTTTTTCCT